AAGTCTCTGCAGTTGCCAGAAATAGAGCTTTGTGGGTTCCGGTTGTTAATAAGCCCAGCCGTAAAACCTCGCATCGTTCTTGAACGGTCGGAGCAGACGGGACCGACCTCGGGCCCTGCGCTTGCAAAAAAAAAAAACGTTTCAGGCTGCTGCTGCTGCTGTTGCCTGATTCTACGCCCAAAAGCCAGGGCCGGCCAGAAAAAACACATCTGGAGTTGCTGCTTGTTGCTGCTGTGAAAATTGGTCGAATCAGATTCAACTCTAGCTGCGAACCTGGATACCCAGCATGATAGATAGAACCTTCACGCCTAGACTCTATAAGACGATCTTCACCACCCTGACATGCAAGCCTCAAGAACCGAAGCCTCAAAGTCAAACGTCTGGAAGCCCACTCCGGCCCATACCGTAAACACCGAAACACCAAAATAGAGGCCTCGAGGCGCAACCTCAGAAGCGCACAAATTCACCCTAACACTGAAGCCCAGAAAGGGTTCTTCCTGAACACTAGATCTCAAAGCCACCGTCAAGACAATCCTGAACTAAACTCTCCAAAAGGCCTTTTAGGACCGTCATGAATCCTAAACTCCAACGGCCCTACTATGAACCTTCGGACCCGAAACCCTAAACACTTTCAGGATCTGGCACTATGCAGGTGTTGCATAGCCCACAAAATCATCAACCAGCAGAGAGAATGCCTCGCTCGGCACCGCCAAGGCCAAATTGAGCTCTCCAACCTAGAAGTGTTGCTTTCAGGTCTTAGGGTTGGTGGTTTGTGTATGGTGCGAGTCTAGGTGTTTTCATTTTCCGGGTGGGACCTCCCAAGGTACCAGGCCCTGCAGCCCTCGATAGCTGGTGGTCAAGGCTTGAGGTCTCGCGGTTTCTCAGCTGCAGCTGTAGGGTCTAGATAGGTTTCGGGATGCGGAGTGCAGGGTTTAGCACCTGGAAGAAAAATCATTATAGAGCTTCGGACTGGTAAGCTCAAAGCCCCAAGTCCATTCCATAGCCCAAAGCATTTGCTGAATGCGTGCAGCCGAAAACCCTCTGCTACCCAAACTCGTCTTGTTCTTTCTGCTGTCAGCGTTATTGCTCGTCGTCAACTTCTTCTGATGGTGAGCAAGAACATGTAGCAGCAGTCCATGTTTGAGACAGGCTTTTAATTTTGTTGAACTATGTTGAGATCCTATCAGAGCTTCAGCAAGGGGCGAGTCTAGAGAACCGCACAAAGGCACAAAGCCACCTGTTACAAAACCAAGTTCAGGTTCCCACACACCCAACAAGCTTCTGCAGCCTGATGAGTACCTGTCTTTAGAGTTTATGGGCCCCGGTCAGAGGACGCGCGACTCATGGTAAACTCCAATACATTGGAACCATTTTTGTTGCCTTCGAAGCGCGCGGTTTCGTGACCTGGCAGACCTGGCAGGGCCAGGCTAGCCGGCCTCTCGGGATCAACAACGCTCCAAGCGCCTCAAATTCTAGCAGGGCGACACTGTGAGGCTTCTCGGACGCGTCCGTGCGGCGGACTCCTAAGGCCACCAGTACCTAGGGAAAAAGATCTTGAGGGTGTGAGGCTGATGCCTTCCGTGGGGCTTCGCGGTCCCCTGCTTGTGGTAGCGGTGGTGGTCCTGCTAATGCTGGTGTTCCCTGGGCGGTCTCCTGGTGGTCTTGGTCGTCGTGGTCGTCGTGGTTGTTGTCGTTGTGGTCCTCGTGGTCCGTCGGGTTCCGGGCCTCCTCTCGTCCCAATCATTGAGCCCGCGATTGATGGATTATGGCTAGCCCTAGTTCTTGAAACCTGACAACCAATTGTCGCGGGGCATCGTGACCGGAATCATAGCATAAGACCTTAACATATGATAGGATTTACTGCTTGTTTCCGCCTACGCTAGCACCAAGCCTGAGCCTTACACGCTTAATCCCTCAACTCGAAGCCCCAAGCCCTGAACCCTAAATCCGGCAAACCTAATCACAAAACGAGCACAAGGCCGCAACCCGCAAGCCCTGAGTAGGCCCGTCGCAAAGACCCAGGGCTTCTTGCCCTCGGGATGCGGATAGTAAGTGTTGGTCCTGATTACCAGGGCTGGGGTTCGACATTGAAGGGTAGGGATTTGGGGTTTAGGGATTATGGTTGGGGATTTAGGGCTTTTTGGGGGTCAGGGTGTGGGATTCAGGGTTTGAAGCTTGGAGCTTTGCAGGGTTTATCGTAGCGGTTCGAGCTTGGAAGTTAGTTGGCATTTTGGGTTAAGGATAGTTCTGGGCTTGAGGTGTGTGACTTCCGTTTCAGGCTTGATCCCGCCTTGGAGAGCGCTCGGAACTCGGAGGGAGGGGCCTTCCCCGACCTGGATGCTAGGATTCCAAGGGTTTGGGGATCCTCCGGTTTGGGGGTTGAAGGTTCCGGACGTTGTGTTTGGACGCCTCGGGAGCGGCTGCAAGACAGCGATGGACGTGACGATGACGACGTGGAAACACTTCTGATTGTGAGACCTAGGAGTTACTCATGATGATGAGTGTGATGTCAGTGACCAGCGGCAACACCATGAGCGTCGACCACCCCGTCTATCATCACCCACCTCATCTTCTTCATGAGGGTGCAGATGACCCAGGGAGAAACTACGACATGGCTTTTGAGAACAGAAGGGCAGGATTCGGGTCCATGTCACCAAGCCATTGCAAGGCTCAGTCTTAAGGGGCTTAAGCCTATCAACGCTTGAGGCGTGGTGCCTCTCAATCTAGCAGTGCTATTGCCAAAGGAAAATCAAAAGTTGTCTCATTAGTCACTGGTCCTGCAGAGGAAATACAAGCTCAACGAAGAAGTGCTACATCACTCGCAGTCCCAGGGCTCTGCATAAGAGGCACCTTGACTAGCTGTTCTCAAGGCCTCCTGGATATCTTACCCTTTCAACACAGGTTTTCACGAACGTTTTACAGATTCGACCGTTTCGGCCGCAAAAGTCTAAAGCACACGCTGCGGCAAAAGGACTGCAATTGATTGCGAGGTCCAATGCTCGGCGGGCTTCTGTAAGGCATACCCCATTGACTCCAAAATCAGCGAGCCTATCATTATCAAGCCCAACATCACCCACTGCTTTGATGCAAACCTGGATTCTCGCCAAGTGATTTCGAAGAGGTAACCAGAAGCCAGAATGGGGATCTCATGGTACTATGCTTTCCATACTATGGCAACTTAGAGGTTGAGCTTCGCACATTTTTAAAGCTTAAGAGGTTCAAGGTGCTAGTTCGGTGACAGCATGCTTGTAAACGGACCCGACAGCCATAACTTCGACCACCCACCCAATGAATGACATTCGCAACCAGGTGGTTCCTTTAAAACTGAACCTATGCTGGCCTTTGTTGGAGAGGAAATTACATTCATTCACGAGCTTTTGTTTAGAACCGAATAGCGAAGCAAACCATCTAACCATTGACTTGCAGGTAATGCTGATGTAGTGCTGACGAAGGTGCCCATGAAGACGGTGCAGCAGAAACTAACGTATGACGGTTAGTCTTTACTAGACCTTCTATTGTAGACATTGCAGCAGGGAGTGAGGCCATGATGAATCATGGGTCTCACCAAACCACAAAAGCCCTAAGCTTCAAAAACCCGAAGCTCGAAACCTAAACCCTGAAGCAAAAGAGGCTCGGACATCTCGGAGAGAGGGGCTCTTTGCCCTCACCGTTGAGGTTTGTGCTCCACGGTGAACAAAACTCACGGTGCGAGGTGGTTCAGGGTTCAGAGTTGAGTGTTGAAGGCAGTTCCAGAAAGCCTCGGGAAAGCGTCTGTAAAACTGGTAGTGCCCGGTGTCTCTTTACACCCAGAGCCCTGTTCATGCCTGGCACCCATGCATGAAGCGAATTCACTTTGGCTGCTGACGTTCGTCAGCTGCATCACACACGCATGCACGCTCTGACTCACCATTCAGGTTGCGCCGCCTGCAGCAAGGTAGCTGGAGATGAAGCGCTGGTGCATGGTGCAGGGAGCAGACGAAGAATCTTTATTACAATCTGCCACAAACTCTGCGGGGCCTTTTTCCACTTCTCACCTAGCATGCTGCATGCCAGCCTTAGTAATGGCATCGGCAGGGTGAAGAATACAAGCAACTCGTCAGGGTTCCCAACAGCCTGTTTTGTGCAGGGCTCCTTGTGCAAGTATTAGGTGTGGAAAACTGCCGATGCGAGCAAAGGGCGTCCAGAAGCCGAAAGATGCCGGGCAGAAGTCAATGCCCAGGGGGGAATTGGGGATGCTTTGTCTGAGGGTCCTTAGAAGGATCCTGCAACTTTGGGTCTGCAGTTTTTTAAGAAAGGTCCCCTAATGAATGAAACTCCCACCAGGGCAGTGGAGCTAAAAAGGGCTGAGGGCGCTGGTCCTCACCTCCCTTTTACCTTGGGGGCTTGCTGCCAGAAAGCCCATCGAGCTGCTCTCCGGACCAACTCCAAAAACATCTTTACAGAATGAAGCAATGCCCTGTTGCTGTGATTGGTCAATGATTGAAATATCGACGTGTCTGCACTCTGCCGAGCCACTTGAATTCAAGCAGCAGCCTCTACATGAGGAGCCATAGATAGAAGGGATACTGACATGTCTGGGAAGAGGCACGAGGCAATACCGCACAGCAGCACGCCTACACCAATACAGGACATGACATTGTCACTGCATCACTCCCGCATACTCCCGCCAGAACGCAATTGCATCATAAGCATTGAATCATTGAAAGCTCGTGGCAGAGGGACCGCGGAGCAATGCCCGGCTGTCCGATGGTTTCGCTTGCCGATTCCTCTGCGATTGCAAAGAGTTTCCTGGACCCGGCGTGTGGCGCTGGACGCCTTCTCGGATCACGAAACGCAAGTGGACATCTCAGTTAGCGCACCTCGAATCTCCAAGACTGCTGAAACACACGTCGCCGCTTCCTCTTGTGACGGTGCTATAGCGATGGCTTCCACGACGCAGGGGTTCAGCTTCTGTTTCTTCGGGCTCCGAGCTGTCGTGACCTTGGGCAACTTCGTCTCCCAGAACATTGCCCGTCAGAATTTCAGAACTTCAAGTAATGGTCGCGCAAGACCTGCAAGCGAGCTTCCAGCTGGCAGAGCAGCACATGCACCCTTCTTTTCTGCTCTTGGAGGCGGCCTTGTACCAGCCTCCCGGGTTGGTCAACAAACTTGCATTTTCACAGTTCACAAGAATCTTGTCCAGGTCCTCCTTAAGTGCGTTCAGCTGTTCGGTTTGGCCTTTCAGGAGCTTTGCACGGCCCAAGAACAACTCGAACTGCTCTTCGGCGCGATCGGGCGCTCGACGCGCTGAGGTCGAGTGGGAAAACCATGCACGCACTGCCGACACGCTCGCGCCTTCCAGTTCTCCGAGCAGCTCGAGGAATGGACAAAAATGAGGCAAGTGCGGGCAGTCCCAATGCCCGGAAAAACGCTGCGGGATAGGAGGTTGCGACTTCCGTTGTGATCGTGACGGCATGCAGTGTAGCCCCGCTCACAATAGTGCCAGCAGGCAAAGGTGACCGCACCGCAGCCTGCGAGTAGAGCAAGAGCAACCAACACGAGGCAGGCCACGGTGCCACCGCCAACAAGACACCTCACTCCCAACTTGCCCAAGCCCTTCATCGAACATAGGGCTTTCGAAAAAAAGGGCTTTTGATCCGGATACGGGGTCTGGGGTGCTGCAAACTTTGGCCGCAACTTCTTCGATGTGCCACCTGAGCCGCTCTGGAAACTCAAACTCCGGCGTCATTCCCGCAACCGTTGAAGAAACCGACATCGTCTGGAGGCTGCCAAGCTACTGTGCTACCCTTCCCCGGCTCTTGATGTGTCGACCAAACACGTCTCGCGAACGATAAAGCACGTAAATGCAGCTAATCACTGATGAAGTCAGTGACTGCAACGACAGAGATTGCTGCTGGGGCTCGTTGTGCCACTCCTCCTCCTCCTCGTCTTCCTGCTCCTCCTCTTCCTCCTCCTCCTCCTCCTCCACCTCCTACCTTAAGCCCTACCTCTTTGCTCACCTACTGCTGCTGATGCGGATAGGGTGGCGGGCAATTTGTAAAGACGAAATTTCCTTTCAAGTCTACGAGGCTCTATGCGACCGTAAGCTATTGTAGGGTCTATGTGGTCCTTATATAATAGATGCGCATCTAACGTAGTTCCTCGCTCGACGCTCTTACGCCCCGGCCTCCGCGGCTCAAGAGATCAACTTTACCGGTGACGGGCGGGAGCGCGCTGCTTGACCGATCTTGGCATTCGCAGCGGCTTGCGCCAGGTCGCCGTTGAGAGTCATGGTGCCTAGACGGTCTGTGGGGATTCCTAAAAGGCTGCCCCGCAAAGATCCAGGAGACCTTTCGGGCTGCCTTGGTCTAGACAGAGCTTGGGGGTTGCAGGATGAGTGGGATCCGAAATCACAGACCCCGCCCCCTTAAGGACACAACGTACAGGTACCCCATTGAGCTCGAAGTGCAGGTGGCGATAACTGTTCTCTTGGGGCTTCTGCTTGAAGGATTGGAATCAGAAGGCGTGTGAAGGGATCACTGTGAAAAACACCAAAAAGAAGAACAAGAACACACCTGATGCAAGAGCGATGCTACGAAGAGTATCAACCATGCTTATAGGATGCTCCAGGCCACGAGTCTGCGAGTCTAACGATCAACTAGACGGAACAGTCCCGATGGTGATGAAAATCGTCAGGAAAGCCCCGCTGCTCTCCTTCACCACATCCGTGAATGTTTCAAGCTTAGGGCATTCGGATTTAAGTGCTTCGGGCTTGGGGAGCCTGGCGTCCATGCCTTCACGATCCATAGAAGCTGTAGTAGCCATTGTAGTGCGCAGCTACCTACATCTGGGACCCTCGCCAGTTGCATGCAGCTGAAGGGACTCGTGAAGTATTTTGCATGTGGGTTTTAAGATCCCTTGTTGGACTTCCCTTGTTGAGAACCCTGCTCATAATCTAATTACTTACCAGGCCAATTGTAGGGTACCATACTTGAAGGAGCCCTAAATCCTTCAACATCAAGGGTTTGTTGAGGGGTTCCATATGCAAGGCCAAGGAGCTTATGGCCAGCCAACTTCCAGAGTAGTAGTCCTGTGCTTTAAGGGTTCCTTTGAGGTTTCAGGGTAAAGGTTCTCAACTACTTCTTCTAGAGGCTCTTGGGTTTAGAGTTTGTGGGGGCTTGGGCCGGAAGGAAGTCTACGGCTGCGTGAATTCCGGGCAAAGTTCTGTGCCTGATGATTTAATAACTACGTTTCGGAGTAGAGTTTAGAGTTTATGGTGCCTTGTCTCGAAGTGTATAGGAGCCAGGTATGCCGTCCACCAAACTCAGTTGAACTGAACCCAAGGGCCCAGACTCTGAACACTTTAACTAGACATTAAACCCGGTATTAAACCCTGACCATCGAATACACGGGGGGGGGTCCTAATTTGACCCACAGCATCCCACAATGGAATCCCGTACTTGTTTCGCAAACTGTCATCTCCACCCAGCATAGCTCCCGAATGCGATTGCGGGCCACCAGCCGGCCAGCCGAGTCTAGAAGCTCCTCTGGAAGCAGGGTCGATGTAGAAATAATTGTCCAAGTACTGAAAAGGACAGACCATTGGTACCTTTGGGGCCAAAGTTTGTATGGATTTTCAAGGTTGGGGTGTTAAGATCTGGGGGTGTGCGATTTCGCAGCGGTTCTGGTTTCTACTTGTATTGAAGTATGTGCTTGAGATCTTGGGGGGAATCTTGGGGTTTGTTTGGGTTTAGATTCTTCCAAGATTCTGATTCAAATCCTTTGCGAAGGAGGGTCGGTGTGAGTGGAGCGTGTTTGCATTGGCGGGGAAAAACCACAGGCGGTGGTTCTAAAAAGATCGAACCGCTGGACCTTGAAAGATTCTGGACCATTGGAATCCACGCGTATAGCACAGAAACCGGAGTTGCTGGGAGTATGAACCCCCACGTCAGGGATTCTTATCATAAGGGCTGTGGAGCCGCGCCCCAGAGGTTGCGAAATTCCTGTGCTTTCTGTTGACCGCTCCCGGGTGTCTCAAGCACGGTTCCCCTGGTTCGTAATCCTAAGCATGTTGAATTCCAAACCCGAAAACCCTAGTCGAAGTATCAAACCTCGAAACCTCAGGGGGAAATAACTCTTGTAATGAATCTAGGCCGCCCGCGCAAAGTCCGAAAACAACCAGCAAAATTCATCTTAAGGTTTCGGCACGGTTTTAGGGCCTTGCGCATACCCATAGGGTTGAGGGCTTCCCTTTTGCATACGATCATCATCATGCCTTCAAACTACTCATTCTCGGTTGTCGCGACATGTTCCCGACAAGCCTGCAGAAAGACCTTGACAGCCCGGAATCCATAATCTCGAAATCACAACAACAAACAAAAACCACCAACAGCCAAACACAAGAATCATAATCATCATCAAATCAGCCACCACCACCAAAGCCACGACCACAGGCACAACAAACAATCACCAACAACAACCAACATCAATCAACAACGACACAACCAGTACCGGCACCGGCACCAGCACCGGCACCAGTGCCAGCACCACAACAACAACGCGACAACGACATCAGCAACAACAACAACAACAGCAGCAGCAATTATTACAGTAACAGCAACGACAACAGCAACAGCCCCAACAGCGACATTAACAGCCACAACACCGCTAACATGAACGACAGCAGCAACAACAACAACAACAACCACAACCACAACCAAAACGACGGCAGCAACAGCAGCAACAGCAACAACAGCAGCAACAACAACAACCACAACCACAATCACAACGACAGCAGCAACAACAGCAACAGCAACAGCAGCAGCAGCAGCAGCAGCAGCAGTCGCCAACAACAGAAACAACAACAACCACAACAACAGCAGCAGCAGCAGCAGTCAACGACAGCAGCAGTCAACAACAGCAGCAACAACAACAACAGCAGCAACAGCAACAGCAACAGCAACAGCAACAACAGCAGCAGTCAGTCAACAACAGCAGCAGCAACAACAGCAGCAGCAACAACAGCAGCAGCAACAGCAACAACAGCAGCAGCAGCAGAAACACGTACAGCATACCTGAAGCCGGAACCCCTTTCACCCTGCTCCGTGTCTCCTGCTGCCGCCGTCCCTGCAGGTCTGCAGATGGGCAAACAAGGCTGGCGAACGTTGGCGCCGCCATGAACATGTTCACCTGGAGCAGGGCCCATTCAGGAGCTGTGCAAAAAGGGAACTTAGCCAAAGGACCCATAAACGATGTTAAAGGCTTTAACAAGGCAGGTTGATGAATCAGGGGTCTACATTGTCAGGCCAAAACCGCTGAGGACCCACAAGAAAAGGAAATCATCGCGAGGTGGAGACTTCTGTGTGCTTGGCGGCCTAATTTCCTACCTAACTGGAAGTATTGCTGGCTGAACACATGTACTCATTATGAGTCTCCGTAACGCCTTGGATAAGAGGTTCTTCTTGCAAGAAATGCTATGGAGCGGCCAAGGATTTTTTCGGGTCCTTCATTGGGGCCCCAACCCCCAAACTCTTTAGCCTAAAGACTTCAAGCCTGCAACAACACAACGTGTAAGCCTTGCTGGGCCAAAAACCTTAAACCGGCAGAGCCGCGCGGTCTTCAAGTTCAACCCCTACAGCAGTAAGCAGTATCTTCCTTTCGTTGTCGGGGCATCAGTAATCTTTACCCAAAGAGCCAAGCCCAAAACACCTAAACACCAAGGCCCCGAAAGCCCAGACCCAAAAACCTCACAACCGCAAATCCCAAAACCTTAAACCCGAATTACTAGGGGGTCCTTCATTTCAGGAGCATTCCCTAAATAACCGCAAGGATCCTCATACCTCATAGACTCATAGATCGGATCCTTGTGTTGGTGCCGGGTTTTGGTGCCTTACTGTCACCTTAAAGCCACAAGCCCAAAAAGCCGTATGCAGTCCTTGGAACCCTTCCGACCCTCTCCCACCTGCCACCCTGGGTGGATGGTCTCCACAAGGCAGGCACGATCCACGTCCAAGGAGGATGCCCAGCGACCCGCGGTCTCCTTTCGGGTTTGCTTGGTGGGGTTCGATATTCTTCGGTCCCCTCCGGGCTTGAAGTGAGGGTCTGGCGGTTTAAGCTTTCGGTTTAAGTTAGAGCTTCAGGATTTTCGAGCTTCGGGGACCTCCACTAAAGCCTTTAAGTAGTAGGGCTGGCTTCAAGGCTGACGTGTATCCGCTCAGGACCCCGACTGACATGGGAATCTTCAGAACAGCCCACTGTGAAGTGCGAGGTTTATGATGAAAGCGCTCGTCAGCCCGAACTAAACAGCACAAGAATCACAATGTCCCTCTAAACCGACAAGGATCTGCAGACTCAGACAGAGCTGCTATAGGAAATTACAAGGCTTGCTGCAGGAATCTAAGTAGGGGTTAGGGTTTAGGGCCTGGGGCCGTGCTTCAGGTCCAAAACGGCCCCAAGGGACCTGCGCTAAGGGAGACCACACAAAGACCTGATCCCACGCTAGCTCCAGATGTGCAGAACTCAATTGCGGCGTTCAAACCAACCCGAGGACACGAGGTAAGGTTCGGGCCCCTCAAATCACCTTCCACGATCCCAGACACGAAACAAACGCTCCTCATCCCGGCCAAACCCCAGATTCTTCAACGCTTGCATGACACTAAACCACAAACCACACAAGACTAACCCGACAAAACCTAACTCAACACTAAACTCCAGAACCGTAGCCTACATCCTAAACCCTAGCCCGAAGCTGCGACACTCTAAACACTAAACACCCCAAAGCTCAAAACCCCTGTCAGCCCCAAAGCACCTGAACCCAAACCTACCCCCAAAACATCGAACAACATGGGGGTGGTCATCAAAATTGGGGGGGTCCTTTGGAAGTGCACTTTAATGCAGGAAGCAACTGTGCAATTACATGGGTCTTGACTTCAACATTCATTACTGATAAACTCAACCGAATGAAGCTTCTTATCCGCATTATTGACTGCAGCTCATCGGAGTGAAGACCGTCAATCCCCTGCACTTTATATCCAACACCTACATAAATCTAAGATCGCTCCTGAACAGGCCAGCCGGTCCAAAACCCCAAAGCCCAATTAAGTAGACCCTCTCGAATAAACAAAGCCCCTGGCACCTTCTTTTCCAAGTGCCGCGCCACCGGGTGAAGAAACTCTGCTGCTGGTCCCGCCTCCCGGGCGAATCTCTGCAGGTTCAGGGATCATGGTTTCGGGGCTTGGGGCTCAATGACTAAGGCCTAAGTGTGTACGGGTTAACAACTGTTTGAGGTTTAGGGTTTAAAGATTCGTGTTTCGGGGTTCGAGTGAACATTAACCTTTAGAATTGATTATTGTGCGAGAAGCTGAAACTAGTATAAAACACAGGAAGTAACTATGTTGGCAAGGAGTGCAAACCGTTTTACATAGAATGCTTTTTCTCAAAACACAATCCCAACATAGATCCTTGAAGGCACGAGGACAGCCCCAATAAGAAGACTTCAGAACAGACCTAAGCGGATGCTATCATGGTTGGCCCCATGGGTGAACGTCTGGGTGGACGTTATCATGGTAGGCACATGGATACAGAACGGATGGGGTCTGGGTGGACGATATGATGATCGAGAACGGATGGAACTGGCCTACATTATTAGGCTGCAGCAAACCTCTGTCCCGTAAAACGTAAAACGGCAGGAACCTGTCTGAGTGCGTCGTCACGCTTCTTCTAACTCAAGCAAGAAAGGTGGGTACCCATAGTTTCGGGGTTCTAGTTCGGATCGGCTGCCAGGGGTTTCGGATCAGAGGGGACAGTTTCGGCCCAAAGTTTCGGCACAGCGGGCAGTTTCAGTCCGATTCTTGCAGGCCTGGGCCTCAAACTGACCATGGCGTAAGACCGAAACTGACCATGTCCTGATCCGAAACTGTCCCCTCCGCCCCGAAACTCAGCATCGAAACTAGTCTCCAAAACCCTGAAACTCACAACTTCCCAAGAAAGTGCTGATTTAAGGTCTCAGGCTGCCGTAACAAATCTCTCAGACCCCAGATCCGTAACTGTAACCAACCCTCGAGACGAAAACACACAGAAATCTGTCTTTTCACGACCGTCCACGCAGTGGGTTTTGCTCCGACACTTTGTTTGAGATATTGACAAGGGAAGGCATGCTGCTGACGATACATACACTGAAAGTAAGTGAAATCCTTCTGTCCAAACCGTGACACACTCCCACCACACCCAGCCCAGGCAAGAGGGCGTGCCAATAAACAAAGCTGCTTCGCTGGTAGCGATTCTTTTCTGGTACGGTCTGGCTGGGCCAGGACAGGCCAAGGCTCAGACTCTGCTGTGCATCTAGGGTTTCGGGGTGTTTCAGCTCCAGCAAGCCGCTGCAGCCTCCTTTCTTGTTGTACTAGGCCTACTAGGCCCAGCCACCACCCAGAAAAAAATCGGTAAGTGCTGCTACAGCTGCCACCCAGCCCAGGCCAGAACGAACCAGAAAAAGAAACTGGTCGTTGTTGCTGCTGCTGCTGCTGTGAGTTTTAGGGTTTCGTTTCGGGTTTGGGGCAGCAGCACCAAATGCCTGAATCTATGCACTCTCTAACAGGCTGATCCTCACACTCTGAACGCTAAAAAATCTCTAGACCCAACCCTAAGCCGCAAAGCGTGAAACCAACTCGCGAAAGCCTCGCTAAAACCTAAACCCGAACCCGGGCCCTCAGTTTAGCAATATACGTCGAAGTACAGGGAGATCCTTTTTGCATGATGTACAGCCATATTTCTAAACCTGACCATCTTCCAGAGTTTGCTCCCGCGTGCCGTCTTCCTGCAATGCCTACTCGCGTGTCGTGGCGTGGGCTCGAGTGGGCCCCCCGGCGCAGCTACCACGTCATTTTCTGGAACGTCTTGTGCCATCCCAAACCCTATGACACCCTGTGACTCCTTTATACAAACACTTGCCAACTATGCAAACATCTGGAACCCTCTTCGGCCTCCGATGGATACAGTAGGAAGTCCACCACCACTCGCCAGATCGTCCTGGATGCCTGAGGGGCTGCTTGGTCTGTAGAGGTCTCCTTTCGTCTAAGGTTGAAACCATGGGCCGTTGTGTGGGCCCTCCCATAAAGGTCCCTAGAATCACCCCAGAAGGCCTATAGAAAGGGTTACCGTGGGGCCTGTGTTTATGCTTGGAAAAGCCCAAGGGTCCATGTCAGGGGCCATGCTTCTAACCTCAGATTCCGGGATTTGAAGGATGAGGTGTTCTATAAGTCTATGAGGATGCGGGTATGGTCAGGCTGCAACTTTGTCTTGCAAAATAGATAGTAGGACCTGTGAGCCCTTGGCTGTTGAGCCCGTCGCGATACCTGAACACCGAAACTGCCCATACCTGAAAACTACCTGGTGCAACGGCCTCTGCACCAAACTCAGCACCCGGAGTGCCGCTGCCGCTGAAGCCAGTCCTTGTTTCGAGGTATGGGGTGTCCTAGTCCCCTTTCTTTCTCGTTTACCGGCCACGTTGCAGGGTTTAGGCGGTGTGAAAGGTGCACAGTGTTTTGAACGATCCTCCGTAGGGCAGCGTCCGGCTCCTTTAGAATTGAAGGTTACGGCTTGCTCCAGGCCTTGAGCCTCTTGCGTCATGAACATATTCCGAAGCAAGGTGTTCTCTGTTCTCTGAAATCCACGCATGTAAGACACAAAATGCCAATGGCCTACCCTTAATTTAAAGGTGTACAACATTTAAACCCAAATATCCTAGAGCCTCAAGCCCGCTAGGAGCCCAACACAAAACAAAAGCATACCGAAGAGCTCAAAAGCTAGATGAATCATCGGATCTCTTAAGCGATGTTGAAGCCCTGAAATCTCCAGACCTGAGAGCCGGAAAGCGGCCCCAGAACTGAAAAGCCTCGCTGTGCCATCTAAACGCTAAAAGCTCAACGAAGCCTCATCGCATGAAGCCCCACAAGAGCCCAAACAGATCGGAGCAACGACCCACACAGAGTCCTGGACTGTAAGAGCCCTCGAGCAACCCTACGAACTTATTGCTCCTGTCGAAGAACCCGAGAAACAAAACCCAGCCCCCCTGTGTGCCGTCCGGGCTTCTGAGCTCGGAGTCGCTGGCCCTCTTCGAAGACCTGCTCGCACAAGCAGGGCTGTTGTCGATTTGTGCATTCGTGCAAGCGGGCCACTGTGTGTGTGTGTGTGCGCACAGTAAGTAAATTCGTTAACATGTATCAATCTATCTATCTGCCTATCTATCCATCTATCTATCTATCCATCTATCTATCTCTATCTATCTATCTATCTATCTATCGCCCTCTATACCTAACTATCTATCTGTCTATCTATCTATGTATCTGTCTATCTATCTATTTATCTACCATTCTATCTGTCTATCTATCTAGGTTACTGTTTCATTGTGGCGCGTTCAGGGTTTATGCTTTCTTTCATGGGTTTCAGGTTCTCTGCGTTTCCGTCCGGGTTTAAGCATCAACTATTCTGAAAACAGGGTTTGGGGTGGGTTTAGGGTCGGAGTGGGCCTTACTCAGGGTACCTTACTTGGACACCAACAGATTACGGCGCTCTATCATTTGCTTAGTGGTTTTAGCGTCTGGGGTGCTGGGGTTTTGGGGCTTGGGGCTTTAAGGGTTTTTGTGTTTGGACTTGAACTTGAATTGAAGGCTCGTGCTCGCAGGCTTTGGACGTCGTAGGTCTCCTGACGACACAGTCGCATGTTTGTAGGTCCCATTTTGCCGCGGGGCCGGCGGCTACAGCAGTACACAGTGACGTTCTTGCTGGTTACCGAAGTTCCTACATTCAATGTCATGCAGCCCTGTTCACAGTTAATGAAACCCCGCGAAAGCCCTCTTACACACAAACTGCCTGCGCCCAGTTCGGGACCAATCCAGTGGAAGGACACCTGGTGGCCCCACGTGGCACGCTTCGGGTGTGAACTTTGGGGTTCCCGGGCTTCTGGCTCGGCGGGTTGCTGTGGCGGCTTGTAGGATGATGATGATGATGATGATCCTCTGCCGATCATGTGCTTGCAAGTGCAATCGGCTGTAAGCCGTAAAGCCTCATGGAACTGCAAACCCTGAGCCCTGAACACCAAAGACCAAATCTCTGAAATTCCATGAGCGTCAAAAGAATCCTCTAAGCCTGGCGCTGTGTGGTCCCCAACATCTTATAGCTGGTCTCGATGAGTGTCTCCCATTTCCTTCAGGATGGCTTATGGTCTCAGGGTCGAACGGTTTGAAGTTTTGTGGCTCTGGACTTAGGTGTTTGGGGTTTTGGGACCAGGCGTGCAGTTTACATCGAGGATTCGCTTGGGAGGTACTGATTACCTGATTTCGGAGATCTAGAGATGCATAATCAGTTCTCGGGTGCATTTGTCGTTGGCTAATCATACGGTGTGCGGGGGCGTGGGGGCGGGAAGGCACCCGGCCCTAAAGATGGATTGCATCTAGACTGACGCGGCCCCTGCACCTTTAAGACCCGAACCACGAGACACTAGCTGTCTAAAGGCCCAGACCCTGAAGCTCAACACCGTTTCGCCCCAAACCCTTCCAGCCCCGGAGTCCAACACCCCGAAGCACAAAGCTGAACTGCCCCAGTGTCGATTCAAAGCGATCGCCCTCGGAGGAGGATGAGCCGTAGCGGTCGTCGTGAGAGGCCCTCGGAGGAGAATGACACTGCCAGAGTCTGCCGGAATGCAGGGTGGAAATCACAGCTGTGAGCTTGAGGATGCGCCTGGGGTTGAGGATTCAGTGCAATTGTGAGGTTCAGGGCTAGCAAGGTAATACTGTGACACTGTGCGATTTGGGGGTGTTGGGTCATGGGTATATACATCCTCAACGATACTTTGATGTACGACCTTGACGGCGACACCTTCCCATCTCAGGTTTGGGCCTGAGGCGCCAGTTTGTCAAGCAATCATTCTTGAGTGCAGAGGGTTTGGGGATGTGTTGGGTTTGGGGATTCAAAACGCCGCCGCTGTAGCTCCACTTGGAAACTCGGCGAAGGCTTCCGCTCTCCGGGTGTAGTTGCCTTGTTCTGAAATACCCCGAAAGAACACCGCACCTTCTGCTCCACAGTGGCTCCTATACGGAAACCAAAACCAGAAAATGTGAATCGAGTACTACCAGGGTTCAAACAAACTCCGTGAGTCGTTAATGATGATCTGCGATCGAAACCTAAATACTTAGGTCCTCATCCAGTTGCAGAATCCCAAGCCTTCAGCGCTAAATCCTAGAATATCCTCTATCCCGCTATACACAGACACTTCCATGAATAAGTATCAGTGACTTAAACCCACATAGGGTACCTCAAAATTAGGGTTGAGTTTCTGCGGGTCGTTTATGAAGGATAAGAATTAAGTGTCTAGTTGTTTACAGGTTCCTCATTTTCGAGAGTGTATCGGGAGCTTTTTGGGTTCACAGTCCCATAATGAAAGGCAGCATTTGAGGTCATAGGGCTTACGCTTGATGCTAGGGGGTCTGCGGCAGGTTTCAGGATACCGGTTAAGGATGTCAAAAACCGGATCCTTCTATGCAGCTGGGAGGCATATAGTCTCGACAAAGGCGATACACACCCGGTGCATGATAGCTGGGGTTCTGCCCTGCCAAGGCATGACGCAGAACCGCTCTGGGAAATGCAGCTTCAAAACTTACAGGGGTAATTGCATAAAGACTCGAAGGGCTGTAGCCAAAAATCCCACAGCCTCCTAAATCCCCAATCCCTCAAGCCGAAAAGCTGTCAAGCCGCAAACCCGTTCAAGCCCCAACATCGTCAAGTTTGGGCCTTCGCTGCCCCAGCCACCCCAGCAGGAGCCCAACTTGACGATTTGGTGGCGGCCGGTTGGGGAGGCCACGGTGGCGCTGAGGTAGAACTGCCTTGCGCGATGGAGGGTAACTATCTGTCTATCGATCTATCTGTTTTGTACGAATACAGACATGGATGAATATGTGTGTGTGTGTGCGCATATATATATATATTTTTTTTTGCTATGGCAGTGAGCGCTGTGCGAATGCGCTCTTTGGCACCAGCTCGAAAGAAGAACTCTGCACCGTGCGTGCTATCTTCATGAACCCTGAATGCTTATGGTTGGCAGGGGCGGTGTGGTCAGGCAAGCCATCCGGAAAGAATCTGTAAGAGCATGTGTCCAACCAATACGGGTGGGGTTTTCCTCTTCGTCGGCCCTGAAGTAATATCCTATCCTTGTAAGCTGGTCCGAAAACTACCCCATGTACTGGATTGGTTCTTGGCAGGGCGAAGATGTTCACTAAGGTTTTGTACTGGGTGTATTGGAGCGTTGTGGAAGGCAGGGTAGGGTAATTGGCCTGTTTGTAGACTTCCGAGTGGGGGATACGAGAGTAGTATGAAGCTGTAATGCCCATGACTCTTCTTAGGAATCTCATATATTGGCTGTCCACCCGATACAATTGCTTCTGCGAAAGGGTTAGGGCATCCAATCCGTAGAGGAGGATGGGTACGAACGTAGACTCAAAGATTTTGAGCTTGCGGGTTCTAGACATCGTACTGTTCCAAACTAACCTAAGTTTCTTGTAGGCTTCTTCCGCTAGAGCTAGTCTGTGGAACAGAGCTACTTCGAATGTGCGTTCCCAAGATATCATCGAGCCCAGATATTTTGCGCTGTGGACCTTCTTAACTGGAGTGCCGTCTAAGAAGTGTAAGGCGGTGTGGTCTGCTT